GCTGTGTCCTTCAGGGATCCAGAGGAAGCCAATTATTGTATTCAGACCCTTAATGGACGGTGGTTTGGTGGCCGTCAAATCACTGCCCAAGTGTGGGATGGAACTACAGATTACCAGGTGGAGGAGACCGAAAGAGAAAGGGAGGAAAGGTTGAAAGGATGGGAGGCTTTCCTCAATGCTCCTGAGGCCAATAAAGGTCTTGGCTGTTCAAATTCCATCTGTGCTTCAGAAAGGGCAGGGCCTTCTAGAGGAAGACATTTTTCAGAGCACCCCAGCTCATCTAAAATGAAGGCTCAAGAAGCTGCAATTCAAATGGAATTTGAAGAGCCTATAGATGAAAAGTTTGAAAAAACCAAGGATGGGGGAGAATTTGAAGAAGATGCTAAAGAAAGTGACCTCAAACGAGAGGCTGAAGAATGCTATCCCCAAAAAGAATCTGAAAGAAGGTATGAGGAAGGCTGCCCCCAAAGAGATCATAGAGACTGCCTTGAAAAAGAGTCTGGAGAAGGTAGTCCCCAAAAAGAGTTGGAAGTGGTTAGTCCTCAAAAAGGGGCTAAAGTGAATGGCCCTGGAAGAGAATCCAAAAAGCGACTGCAAAATGATTTTGAAGAGAATGGCTTTGAAAAGGAGTCTAAAGAAGATGGCCCCAACAAGGAGTCTGAAGAAGAGAATGGCCCCCAAAAGGAGTTTGAAGAAAATGAGTTGGAAAGAGAATCTGAAGAAGACTGCTCTGAAAAGCTGTTTGAAGATGGCCCTGAAAAAGTATTAGAAGAAAATGGCCCCCCCAAAGAGTTTGATGAGAATGGCACTGACAAGGAGTTTAATGAAAATGTGCTCAAAAAAGAGTTAGAAGAAAATGACTCTGAAAAATCAGAATTTGAAGATGACAACTCTGAAAAAGTGTTTGATGAGGAAGGCTCTGAGACAGACTTTTACGAAGAATCAGATGAAATGGAAGGAGAAGGAGATACATATGAAAAAGTTTTTGATGAGGAGTCTGATGAAAAAGAGGACGAAGAAGCTGCAGATGAAAAGGGTCTTGAAGATGCTGATGAAAAGGAGGAAGGAGATGATGCAGATGAAAAGATGTTTGAATATTCAGATGAAAATGAAGACGAAGTAGATGCAAAGGAGGATGAAGAAGGTATAGATGAAAACATGTTCGAAGATGGTGATGCCAACGAGAAGTTGTTTGCAGAGGATTCCTGTGAGAAGTTGTTCGATAATTCTGATGAGAACGGGACAGTGGGTGGTTTGGGGCATGTTCAGGAAGAAGGGGCCCTGTCCACAGGCAGCAGCTTTATCCTCAGTGATGATGATGATGATGATGATGATGATGACAACATTTAATCCCTTAAATTTGCTTTTGAGAGAAATTCCTCCACTACATTTTGCCTATGCTCTAGGGGAATTACTAGTAGTGTTAATGAACATTGCATAGTGATAGGATGCCTTCAGATTAATGCACTGACTTTTTCATTGTTACCCGTACTTAATGATCATAAATATTTGTTAATTGGCTGTTCAGTTAAAGCTTCTCAGTCTAATGCAAGTAAACTGGATACTCGTCCTTTGTCAGATTTGTTAAATGGATGTAGAATATTTTTTTAAAATATTCTGATTGAAGTTTGTGATATTCAAAAATAAAAATAAGTTGTTAATATGCAGAAATTGAAAATTGGACTTGAGTTAAATTGCATTTAAAATTTTTTGCTATTTGCTTTGTTCATATTTAAGTTTAGTCTTTTAAGGGTTTGAAAAATCCCACAGGAGTCTCCTTGCTTCCAGCTTAGCTCCTATTTCTCCTTTCTAAACCAGAGCATGTTACTAAACTTACAAGGCAAATAGCACTTTGGAATTTTCCCCCGCCCCGTCCTTGCAAGTTACTTTTATTTGTTTTCCTTTTTACTCTCCATGAAAATTGGCTATTAGATGCACAGGAGGGACCTTCCTGAGGTCCACCTACAGCTTTCATTACTAAAAATATAGGGAAGGAGATTAGAATTCCACTCTGCGCTGTGTGGCCCCTTTAGAAGTTGATTGGAATTGTGGGTCCTCTCCCCAGAAAAGTGCACATACTACACAACTTTTTGAATACAGTTTGGAAGGTTTAATTGATTGCTTGGAGTTTAAGAATGTTGCCATTCATACTTCAATTTTGTGTTTTTGTTCTAGTATGGTGCCTAGTACTGTGCTAGATTGTGTAGTCCCAGTAAAATGTTGGGTCTTTCTTGCTTATGCTTTCCAAATTAAATATTGATGAATTGACTTCTGCTGAAGCATGGAGAAGTTTTTCTTATAAATCAGAAGCATTGAAATAAACTGCATTGATGCTTTTTCATTATAAAAACTCCATACCATTGTGAATAATGCTGCTAAGAGCATAGGTATATAAATGTCTGTTTAAGTGCCTGCTTTCACTTATTTTGGGTATATATAAAGAAGTAGAAATGCTGGATATATGATAATTCTATATTTAATTTTTTTTGAGGAAACACCATATTGTTTTCCACAGTGGCTACATCATTTTACATTTCCACCAACAAAGTACAAGTGTTCCAATTTCTCTGCATTCTCACCAGCAGTTTTTGTTTTCTTTAAAATTGTATTTTATTTTATAATAGACATCCTAATGGCTTTAGAGTGCTATCCCGTTGTGGTTTTATTTGCACTTCTGTAATGACTACTAATGGTGAGCATCTTTTCATGTGCTTATTGGCTATTTGTATCTCTTCTTTGGAGAAATGTTTATTCAAGTCCTCTGTCCATTTTAAAATTAGGTGTTTTATTTTCTTTAAAAATTCTTACCTGGGGATATGTTTTTACTGATTTTAGAGAGAAGAAGGGAGAGAGAGAGAAACATTGATGTGAGAGAGAAGCATTGATCGGCTGCCTCCCATGTACACCTTGATCAGGGATGGAACCCAAAACCTAGGTATGTGCCTTTACCTGGAATTGAACCCGTAACCTTTTGGTGTACAGGACAATGCTCCAACCAACTGAGCCACCTAGCCAGGGCGGTTTTTTCTTTTGGTTGTTGAGTTGTAGAAATTCTTTATATATTTTATAGATGAATTCCTTATCAGATATATAATTTCTAAATATTTTCTCCAACTCTGTGGGTTGCCATTTTACTCTGTTGATAGTGTCCTTTGGTATTTTGATGAAGTCCAACTTACCCATTTTTTCCTTTGTTGTCTGTACTTTTGGGTCATGTCCAAGAAATGTTGCCAAATCTAATGTCTTGAGGCTTTTTCTCATGACATGTTTTCTTCCAACTTTTGAAGTTAGAAGGTTTACTGATAAAAATGTCAAAATAATGGTATGTATGTCCCCCTCAGGGCACCCTTGGTATATGTACTGGATCTGGCCTTTCTTAGGTATTTAGACAGTCCCCTAGCCTCCCCTATCCCCCACACTATGGGGTTTTTTATAGCTGAGGTTTTTAGTGTTCATGTCCTAGCTTTCTAGGAAATATCAGAAGGAGTCTGAGCTCTCCTTTCTGTGTTTTTCTTTTTCTCTGGAATCTTCACTATCACTTCCAATGCTATGCCTGGTCGTCGTAGATATAACAATCCTCTTTGTTTTCAGACTGAGAATTGATGAAAAATTACCCTTTAAACTTTATAGTTCAGCTAAAACAGGTTGATTATTCCAAAGAAACTTTACTCAAAAACTTAAGGGAAGAGAAGAAAGGGGGAAAAAATTCAAAGACACATAACGCAGTCATACCTTGGCTGGGCCTTGTTTAGATGCTGGAGGGTGGCTTGCAGAGTTAGACAACATCACCCTCTAGAGGACATTACTATGCTGTGCACCAACTTGCTCAACAATTGTCTTAGACCAGCGGTTCTCAACCTGTGGGTGGCGACCCCTTTGTGGGTCGCACCACCCCTTCACAGGGGTCGTCTAAGACCATCGGAAAACACATATATAATTACATATTGTTTTTGTGATTAATCACTATGCTTTAATTATGTTCAATTTGTAACAATGAAATTGGGGGTCCCTACAACATGAGGAACAGTATTAACGGGTCGCGGCATTAAGGTTGAGAACCACTGATCTAGAGGGTACAATGCTAAGTGAAATAAGTCAGACAGCGAGAGACAAACATTTACGATCTCATTTATATGTGAAGTCTAAAGCACAATATAAACAAAATAGAAACAGACTCATAGATACAGAGAAGAGACTGATTGTTGCCAGAGGAGAGGGGAGTTAGGGGACTGGGTGAAAAAGGTGAATCTGGTTTACCAGGGAGAGTGACAAAGTGGCTCAGGAGGGCAGCTGAGGAGTGTAAAGGTCACAAGGAGTGACCCGTTGCCAAATCTAATGTCTTGAGGCTTTTTCTCATGACATGTTTTCTTCCAACTTTTGAAGTTAGAAGGTTTACTGATAAAAATGTCAAAATAATGGTATGTATGTCCCCCTCAGGGCACCCTTGGTATATGTACTGGATCTGGCCTTTCTTAGGTATTGCTAAAGAGGCAGGGCTCTGGTGATTGCATGCATCAAACAGATGGATCAAAGCACTTTGAACGTAAATCTTAGAGCCTTTTGTGCTTCTCAGCTGGGCTCACTTGCTGCTGAGTGATCAGAGTTGATTATTGCCACGAGTGTTGTTTATTTTTTTAGTTACTTTTGGGCCTGGAGTTGTTCTGAAAGTTGAAGGTTCTTAATACACTATGGGGTTTTTTATTTTTTTATTTTTTTTATTTTTATTTTTTTTTGTGTGAAAAATCTAGGACTTTTTCTTTTCTTTTCTTTTTTTTAATTTTATTTTTTATTACAAAGGGTATTACATATGTGTCCATTTTTTCCACTCGCCCTAGAACAGTC